TCTTTCTTTTAAATCTCGCGAATTTCGTTTTATTATAAATATCATTTATTGAATTATCCTCTCACAAATATAGAAATTGTTTTATCTAGAACTTTGCGAGACTTTATTGAAGCTCGAAACTTTAGTAATACAGTCGCGTCGAAGTAATCAATTAATCAGGATTCTTAATTATAATATTGACAATATAGAAAAGTTCTGATCTGAATATTTCTCTGGTACTGCATTTATTGAACCAAAACATTTAATTCGTGAATTTTCTCTTGTAAGGAACGACGAAATAGAATTTTAGCGAACATCTAATTCAATTGTTAAAAAGAAAGAAAGATATATTTAATGCATGTAAACATGTCTATTATTTAAAAAAATAGTCGTAACTCTCTATAGTTAAATATTCGATAGATACTATTGGTAAAATACAGATGCAATGCAATCTGTGTTGCGACGTTGATGATACAGCCTTACATGAATGATCTTAAATCCACTTCTCACTATATCGATTAACATAAATATCGGAAGTGAGTTGATACGTACAGATACCGAGAGAAATATCGACAGCCGCCTGTCGACGTAATCGTCATCGCGGTAATTTCGTTGCCTGAAAGATTTACGACACGACCGGTAATCGATAACGAAAACCGATTAAGGCCGATTACATTCAGAACTTGATTTCATAAATCCGGTACTTCGTGTTTGTCCTTGGCACTTCGTTACCGGAATGGATTTTTAAACGCATTCGCCTTGTCGTACGCGAGCCGTGTTGAAAATCATGTCATCTTAACAGTGTGTAATACTTAAGAATATGTTGCACATACTAAAAAAAAAAAAAACAAACTTAAGAGAAGTACTATTAATGAAGATGTGTTTAACTAGCTAAAGAAGATTTTAAGCATTAATTATACAGAAAAATGCAAATAATTTTGTAATCCAATGTCTGAAATAACAAAGTCGACTTTACAAAGAATATTTTTGTTTTTACTTTAATCTTGTAAAAATGAAAAGGAAGAAACAATCAGGAAAAAATCAACGCTAAATTTGTTTCTTTCCAATATTAAAAAACAAGAACTGTAATTGTTTCACATTTAGCTTGTCATTCGTAATTTTCTACAGCGTTTTGAAACGTGCGCGTTCCGAAAAAACGAAGAAGAAGAAGGAAAAGAAGGGAGAAAAAGAACTAATCGAAGTGTACTCCAAAAATTAATTTTGCAGCGAGAAAAATGCGCACTTTACATTTTACATCTCGCCGATAATCCCGACCTGTCTGGCCGGGGAAAACAGCGGCGACGTCGATCAACACGCTGACGGAGGATTGTCAGGATGTTAATTCGTGCCGAGTAACGAACGACGCCGGACGACGCATTGCATTATTGAGGTACGAGCTCGTCGCGATAATTCGTTGATTACAGCCGCGACTGCGGCGTTCATCCAGGCACCAAGGAAATGGGAATGTGAATGCACGCTCGTAAAAAGGGGAAAAGAACGACTTTGAAGAGAGACCAACTGCGCGTAGACATCGTAAAAGTGTAATTGCTATGAAGGAAGAATGCATGTGCCTCGTGACGCATCGCTTAGAATTAAGACACGACTTCGGTTTTCAGATTGCTCTTTTATAAGTCATCCTTAGGATAGAAACGGAAATTGACGTTACGAACTAATCGAACGATGCCCGATGGCGTATAATATCTCATATACTTTCTCTCGATAATAATAATAAGAACGCGAAAACATACTTATTGCGCATTGGAAATGTGAGCATCATATATGAAACTAGTTT